ATAATTCAAAAAAAAAAACATTTTGATAAAATTGTTACTTGTAACAAGTAAAATATAACAAAAAAATTAGTTGAAAATTGCAAACATAACCAAGTAAAAGATTCTTAAAAAGTGAAAAAAAAATAGTGAAATAATTCAACAAAAAAATGAAAATGAATGCATTTCTAATAATAATCAATGAACATTTAGTCTAATAGTACTATTTAACTTGCGAAAACTTCGTCTTTTTGATATCAAATGTTTAAATCCCCTTCCAAAAAATAAAATGAAATTATAGTCAATCCCCTAATACTATAATTTCGATGAATCGTATACAAAATAAAAAATAATTGGTGCCACCACCATAGCTACAGTGACACATGCATCACCGGAGTACATCACAATATTTTGGGGGCACCAAATTGGTTTTGTTGGTTGAAATAGGTTCTGGGTATGAAGGAGTTCATGAGTTTTTTTGGTTGGTGGGTTGGAGGAAAAAGGAAGGGAGAGGGTGGTGGGTTTGATTAGGTTAGTGGGAGGCAATGATGGCTGGGATGTGTGTTGGTGGTGTAGTGTGTATGCGTGTGTGATAGATTGGTGGGGGTGTTCCTTGTCGAATAAACGTGAAAGAGTTGGGATATATATATATATATATATNATCTTCCCTACCCTTTTTCTTCAACATAGTATTCAAAGTAATTGTGGTGGTTGGCTGTATTTTATCAGCAGTAGTACTACCCACACTGCCACTACTTTTCGAATCCACAAGACTCATATCTTTGCTGATTGCCCTATTATCCAATAATTGCTTAAAAAATTCAGTTACTTCCTCAGGGCAATGCTTACACGCTGCTACATCTTTGCGATTACTTGCCAAATGATTTTTCATTCTTGAAATGCCTCCCCAATAGACATTTGCACAATGAATGCATTTCAATTTCAACCTTGATCCTTCTACTTTGTCACAATGTTCCCATGTGGGATCATTAGCAAGTTTTTTAGTCATTTCTATATGAAAATTGGATGCAGGTGATGCCACTGTTGCACAAAATTAAAATTAATCAAGATTCAGAAATTTTTATACAAAAAAATTTATATACATTTGGCTTTGTAAATAAATTAATATCATTACATACTGCACAGGACCAACGATCAATGGAGACTAGGAAGAAGAAGAAGAAGAAGAAAAAGAAGGAGTACCTGGAGAAGGAAGAAGACAGCGATCAACACCCACAGTCGGAGACAAGCAATCACCTACAGACGAAGACCAGCAATCACCCACAGTTGGAGATCACCCAGAGTCGAAGACCACCCACAGTCGAAGACCACCCACACAGTCGAAGACCACCCACAACGATCACCACCTACAACGTTCACCACCCACAGTCGATCATCACCCACAGTCGATCACTACCCACAACGATCACCACCCATAGCGATCGCCACCCACAGTCGATCACTACCCACAGCGATCAGTACCCACAATCGATCACCACCCACAGTCGATCACCACCCATAGCGATCACCACCCATAGCGATCGCCACTCGTCGTCGATGGCTGAAGAGAAACCAGAGACAGTTTATAGCGATCGCCACCCACAGTCGATGGCTGAAGAGAAACCAGAGACGTCGTCGATAGCGAAGGGCAAATATGTGACAAATGAGGGATTTTTTTTTTGTAACCCTAACCACTGAAACGACGTTGTTTCAGTGGTTATAGGGATTAAAAAAAAAATCAGAGCACAAAACGACGTCGTTTATAAAAAAAAAAAAAAAAAA